AGTAGATGCTCTAATTAGGGCAAACAATTTGAATAAAAGGCATACATTACATAGGGGAAAGTTCTACTTCAAGTGGTGAGAAGAATATAGAGAAACCTAAAAGTTTTAAAAGATAAATCAGGGTGTAGGTAAATGGTCTTAAGAGTTTTGCACTTAATTCAATAGTAACTAGAGCATTCTTGATGATCTTAGACTAAGAAAATGACATGATAAGTCAGGTGACATGGATCGCACCTGTAATCCTAGCACTCTGGGAGGCCAAGGCAGGAGGATCACTTGAGCTGAGGAGTTCAAGACCAGCCTAAGCAAGAGTAAGATCCCCTGTCTCTACAAAAAGAAAGAAAGAAAGAGAGAGAAGAAGGAAGGAAGGGAGGGAGGGAAAGGAAAATTAGCCTCCATAGTGACACATGTCTGTGATCCCAGCTACTCTAGAGGCTGAGGCAGGAGGATTGATTGAGCCCAGTAGTTGGAGGTTGTGGTGAGTAGCAGGCTGCTACTGCTCTAGCCAGGCAACATATGGAGGCTTTGCTCCACACACACATACACATAAAAAGAAAGAAAAGAAAATGATGTGATAAAAACTATTAGGAATACTAACCTCATGGCATTTTGAAACTGGGACTGACAGAGCTCTGAAAATAAAAAACCCAGCAGGAAGGCGATTAGGATGGTGCATGAAAGATTTAAAGAGATAAAAATGAAAAGAAGGAAATTAGAGGTAGAGGTAAGCTATACAGAGTTTCTCAACAATATAGAAAGTAAGGCCAAGGGAGGTTTCAGAACTGTAAGAAAAATAATGGCCACGCCAGTGTCAAAATAGCAAAGTCAGAGAAGGGAGCCCTTTCCGAGTTGTGAAAGACGATAATGCGGCTGTGTCGTGGACATGCACACTCTTCAAACACAGAGATCTAGGAACGCTCCATCCCTGTCTAAAGTTCAGATTAAGGAGAAAGAAGGTATAAAAACATAACGGAAACCAAAAAAGAATATAAAGACCAGAAACATTAAAGTCTACAGAGGAATTTCCTGAAAGGTCGAGTTTTTTGTGTGTTTTTAAAATAATGAGGTCCATTAGTAACTTCTAAGAAAACAGCTTCGATAAAAAAGATAAAAACCAGAGGAGTTAAGAAGTGACATGTGGTTGGTGAGAAAGTGGATATAATATACATAAACTAATGCTTTCAGCAAGTTTAACAGAGCAACTTAAATATTCAACAATAAAATCTCTGTTGAAGCCTGGGGGAGATGATGGAAGACCACTAAAGTGGAACGAAAACATGCTAACAGAGAAAGCTGGGGAAAGATGTTGTTAAAATTCTTAAATCGCACAGAACACAGAACATGTGCATGAACCTAACATCAACTTCAAAATATATAAAGCAAAAAGAGAAGTACTATGAGAAATTAACAGATTTATAATAGTGACTTATTTTTATTTTCATTTTTCATTGATAACTAATAAATGTACATGTTTATGAAGTTCATGTGATAGTTTGATACACGTCTACAATGTATAGCGATTAAATCAGAGTAATCATAATAATGATGTTTCTCTCAGGAATTAATAGAATAAGCATACCAAAACTCAGAATGAGCTGACCCCACTACAACATTGGTGCTCATCCTCATTGATAATTAGAGAAATAAAAATTAAAAATAGGATTAGATATCCTTACACATCACTGGATTATCAAAATTTATAAAGTCTAGTCCAGGGATGGGTGAGGATGTGGAGCCCTCAGGACCCTCAAAAACTGCTGCTGCGGGGCAAAGCCACTTTGTAAATCTGACCTGGTCTGCACTGCTAAGGATGAGGCAATTCCTCTCCTACTCAAAATATTTAACAGACAGGACAAGACACTCTCACAAATGGCCATGCAAATGTGACTGTGGGGGACCTGTACCACAGCACTATCAGAGCCCCAGGAGGTCAGATGGGCACTAGATATTTGTCTGCTGAGGTTCCAGGGCCTACTCTGAATGGGGAATAACAGAGACCCAGGAGCTGGCTCATGGGCTCACGTATCAGGAGGGATCTTTAGACCAGCTCCTCCACAGTGATCGAATAGACCTGCAACAGAGTTGAAAGAGAACTTGGGGGTTTGGAGCAGTGACTTTCCATCAAGCTGAACAAAAGTGTTTTGACATTTTGACAGTTGGCATTACCTTCATAGTATGTACTAGCTGCATATCAGTTCCGAATTTTCCCTAAGGGAATTCAAGCTGTGCAATCAGATACAGCAAAAGAATTTTTGTGCAACTGTTGATTCATTGTAAGCAAAAAGAAAAGCAGAAATGAAAATGGATGAATAATTGATGATCAATTCATACAGTGGAATATTCTACATTAATGAAAATAAACCACAGCTACAGGTAATGTAAAAGAATCTGCCAAACATGAATAGAGAGGAGGAAAAAATACATGAAAGAATACATACACTATGATTCCATTCATATGACGTTTCTAATAGAGAAACCTCAGCTACTGAACAGAAAAGGTAATTAGGTACAAAACCCATACAATGCTACATACACACGGACATGACAATCAGGATTGTGAACAAGAAGGGCAGATGAGTAAAGTAAAGGGGAGATTCTTTCCATGATAATTCTTTGTTTATCCAACCTTACATGTTTAATGTACTTTTCTGATTATTTTAATTGTTGCAATAAAAGGAAAAAAAAAGATTAAAAACAGTCTTGGAGCTGACCAGGAGCAAAGGGGTTTGCAACTGAAACCTGATAGCACAAATGACATGGTAGGAGGTAGGCAGAGCAATAAAAAAAGGAGAGAAAGTGATTGGAGAGTAATATAGCAGGAGTGGTATTTATTCAAAGACAGCTCACTACAGGACAAGGAACAGCGTGGTAGAAGTGGAAGCCTTCTTCAGTCAGAAAGAAACTTCCAAGGCAAGTTCCCCAAAGGAGAATGAGCACCAAAGGCAAAGTAAGTAGATCAAACAAAGCCATATCTTTGTTCAGTTCATGCTTTTTTCTGTCTTTGTATGTTTAACAGAAGTTTCCTTGAGGACTTACTCTCAGGAAGCAGCAATTTGAGGTTGATCAAAAGGATATGAGTGGCCCCTATGCTAGGAATTTATTCTAAGGAAATAAATGTGGATTAGCAAAAATGCTTACTTACAAGGGCATTCAATTAAATATTATTTAAATGGTAAACAAAGTGATTTAAGAAAATATGAAATAACCATAAAATAGAATATTATTTGTTGGAAATAATGTTAGAGGATGTGGAAAATGTTCATAGCATATTAATAAGTAAAAAACAGATTACAAAACATTATATACAACCCATAGGACCCATACAGGGATACTCAAAGGATCTGCATCAAAACCATAAAGTGGGTGATAAAATTATGGATGAATTTTATTTAAGTTTTTTTTTCCTTAAAAAACTTAGGAGGCCTCAGCATTTTAAAGCTTCCTGTGATGAATATATATTTCATTTAATAATAAGGCAAATTCTATTTTCAAACATAATTCAAAATTATATAACAACAATTGCAAAATATATATTCGTGTGGTCAAAAACTTGGAGAATATCAGACCAAAAGTAAAAACAGTAGCATGAGAATGGAAGATTATTGGCTTGTTTCTTTCTTCGTATTTTCAATATTATGTTATTTAAAATTTGAAATGTAATTTTAGGCTAGAAAAAATATTAATCTGGGGATTATAAAATCTGAAGTACTTAATTTCTTTTCATGTATTTTTTCCCAAATTCTGACAAAGAAACTAAATTTTCCTATAATTCATATTCTACTGATTAATTTGGTAATTATACAACTTCACCCCTCAGACTTTTAATGAACAACCCAGGGATCCTGTTCAAATGCAGAGTTTGGCTTAGTGGATTTGGACAGAGCTTTCTGCTCTGACGAGTTGCCAGGTGATATGAATAACTGCTAGTCTAAGAACCAGACTTTGAGTAGCAAAAATGTAAAACATAACTATTTTCTAGCAATTATCCAACTAAGGTCATTCAGAGCTGGTTACAAACAGTTCCATGAACAGATACTTATTATCCATTTACTCTATTCAAACCCATAAATTTATCCTTGAAAAATTTGACTTTACTTCACCTGTCCTTTTCAAAAATAAGAAG